TTGGTACAGTACATAACATTTAAGCAAAGAAAATTGTTTTCTTTTGTCTGCTTAACTTGAAGGTCAACATTCATCAAATCACTCCATTTATAAAAAGTGTTCTAATATGATAAGTAACCTTAACTCTACTCTGTTTTTAAGATTTATTCTGTGGTTTTTCCTATTTCTCCATATCAAAAATTGAATAAAAATTTGCCAATATTCTCATTTTTAGTAAATTTTTCAACGTGTAAAACTTCAGATATTGGTAGATATCATTCCCTTTGAACATTTGGGCTTATATTGAATTTTCACAGGAAAATTTTGCTTATATGTCATTTTTGTTAAGAAATTGGGCAAGTAATACTAAGGTTTATAAATGATCAAGAGTTAGTGTATTACACTTGGATATGAAATACATAATATTGCATTGATTTATTTTTATTCATGCGGTTTCCATATATTTGGTATAATACATATATAACATAGCTGATGAGCACATTGCTTTATTTTTTATATTTTGCATGTAGAATGCAATGCAATGTGTATATTTAATGTTGTGTATTATATCTTATTATGATGTAATATTATTTTGTATAAAAGTGAAAAAAGGTGGTTAAAAATGGATTGATTATTCAGATTAGTTGGAAAAATGTTATCGTGTTTGTTTTTATGAACAGAAGAGAGATTGATGGGCTTTCCTTTAAATAGAATTTGTAATGTATCCCTAAGTGATGTGAATAAGGTAATAAAAGAATATTGACTGAATGATACGGCCAATAGACATAAAGTGATGATTTCTTATATAAAATCCACCAAAACTTGTAATTTATGATATGAGATTGATTCCCTGACAATGGATAGACATAACTAAGATTTGATTTCTATTAGGATTCAGTGATGCGGACATCCAACCGTCCAGCCAATCGAGGTGGAGCTGAAGATCGGACGTACCGAGACTCACTGTGTGTGTTATTTTCGTTTATTAAGTGTATTTTAATTTAGTTTTGCAATTTCCCTTTTACCCTCTTTTTCTTGATGTTAAGCCCAAGGGGCCAATGTGTCTTTTAATTTCTTCTTGAGGCCTATATATAGAAGCCCTTCTCTTGTATTGGATGATGGATTATTGATACAAAAAAAAATTGTGTTTTGCACTTGGGTTCTTTGGGAAGAACGTTAGTGAAATCCGTTATGGCAGGAAGTCGGAGTTTCCACCAGCCGGCAGGATGTCTCCGGGCTCGTGGTGTGAAGTCCCTGGAGAAGGGCAACGTAGTACCCGTCAGTCGCATGATGTGTCCGGGCTCGCGGTTGTATCTTTGATATTTTGTTTATTTTCTTTTGTTCCTTCTTATTGCTCTTCGTCGTTATGTTCATCTTCTTCCTCCTCCCCATCTTCGTTGGCCACCGGATTCACCTCCACCCGAAATCCCTCATACCCTCTCCATCTCACGGCTAATCCCTTCATACCAAGCCCCTTGCGCCGGAGCAAGTTCATTGCCGCCGCCCCTTTGGCTCCCACAAGCCGCCAGCTTCCCAGGCAACCACGCACCGCCGGCCCTCCACCCGTCCCCTTGGCCCCATCCCTCTACTAGCGCTGGCCTCTCTCCATGGGATTGAAATTTGAAATTCAAATCTCCCATGAGACAAAATTGACTTTCCTAAATTAGATCCTTAATTTCAGGCAATCTTCTTAATTGTAATTCAATCCCAATTTGAAATTCAAATTAAGTTAATTGATTGCCTTACTTTAGGAAACTTCCTCGTATAAAATTCTGAGAATTCCATTAAACTGCTTTAATATTATGCTATGCTGGGGCCTCAATACTGAATTCTAAATTCACTTGAATTTTAAATTCAAATCTGAGGACATTCAATCACCTCATTAATTCCTAAATGCAAATCAATGAGCTTTAATGATTCCTTATTCTCCCAAGCCGTTACCTTCAGCTTTTCTCATAGCCATTAAGGCGTGACTCCTCCTTTTTCCCGTTGCTTTAATTACTTCCTACAACTCCCATAATTCCTTCTTCACATCCCACCTGTTCAAATGGCCTTAGCCCCACCTTCCAAATTCTGTAGAGGGAATTAGGAATTAATTCTTTATTTCAATTTCATTCCCGTAACTCCCCACCTGGCTGAATCTCCCAAATTCCCCAATGCTTGCAGTTATTTCTTAAATCAAATCATTGATTTAGGAAATCAATTCCCTTCTTCCCCTTTTCTCTCTCCAATACCTCTCTTGACTCACGGCTAAATCCTCCATCTCAACTCCCTACCTACCACACTTGGAAAATCTGAAATTGTTTCAATTTTGCTGGACAGAAAAATTGGAATTTTTGGAGTTGAATTATGCCTAAAGTCTACCCAGGTTTTTGTGATTCTCTTTGAGATGAGCTTGGAGCTTGTTTCCCCTCTCCTACCTAGACAAAATCTGAGTTTCTTCTTAGTTTTTCTCTTCCCCATCAAGCTGAAATTTCCCAAGGCATCACCTAGGCTTGCATTCAGATTTTTGAGAGAGGAGATCCTCTCCCTAGCAAAGCCGGCATTTCCGTTCTACATCAATTAGTCTACATGACCTAAAACAAGAAAACACCAAATGTTCTAACCTGCTTACATATGCATATGATATGTGTATGCATGATAAATTGCATAAGTGAAATTATATAATATGATATGAACATGATACATGATATGACTGATATAAGCATATGACAAGACTTATATGACTGATAAGATTGTTACAAGAATATATGATATATGATGTTGTACGACATAAATAGAATAAATGTACACTTGTTTGATATGATAGATAGAAATGATAGAACATAATAATCCTTTAAATTGCTACTGATCACTGAATCTAAATTATATTACTTCTATTGATTTTCATTAGCAGTATAAAAATACTACTACTCATATTAATTAATATATAATTTTACAGTTACATGTTCATATTTATTTGGATTAAAAGATTACATGTATACCGTTTCTATTACTTTGCATTCATTATAGTTGTAAGTTCTAATAATCTACAGGGTAGTTAGCTAACTCTATGATTTTATATGTTTTCAAGAAGGGGGCAAGATCTAGTAGAGTGAGAAAGATCAAGTTTTATAGGTTTAGTTTTGATCTTTATATTTTGATTTTATTCTTTTATGACTAGGAATGATGAGTGATATAGTGATGTTGTAGATTGAATTCCTTGTTATTGTAATGAATTTTGAGGAATCAATATAAAAATATTTTATGTATATGATTTATAGTAGCTTTTGTTGGACTTATTTGTAAAAATAAAAAATTAATAACTCCGGTAGACTAATTTAAAGATAAAATAGGCAATTCTTCCAAATTTAGATCAAGGCATCATAAATTTGGTATCAGAGTAATGGTTATTGAAAGAATTAGATTGTAACCAAAGCTATAGAATTGATTGAGATATGTAGAAATGGGGTAATTCTAATGTGCATTCATTTTTGCATTTGTAATTACATACATATATATGATTAAATTATAATTTAATAGAAAAAAACTATACTGAGTGTGATGGACCCATTTGATAATGAAGCACTAAATGAGCAGAGTATAGTAGCCCTAGGAAGCTTTGACATTATATTGCAATTCACCAGTTTTTTAGCTCAGTTGATAGTGATAAACATAGTAGACAGGTTGGGAGCATGAAAACTAAAGAGAATAAGCACTTATAGATATTTCATAAGTTGAAGCCCTCATTACTTAAGGGAGTTGTAGAGCCACAATTTGCAGAGGACTGGCTATTGAGAATAGAGAAAATTTTTTAGAGCATGCAGTGACTAGAGAACAAGAGAGTACCACTGACAGTGTTCTTATTTGAGTGTGAAACTGAGAAATGGTGGATAGGATAGCACAAGGAGAAATTCCAAGGAAAGATGAATACAGAGATTATTTGAACAGAGTTTGTTATTGTCTTAAGAGACTAGTTTGTACCCCCATCAACATGATAGCAGATGCAGGAAACTTTCATAAGGCTAGAGAAGGGATCAAGATAGTGATGCAATACAAAATTGAGTTTACTATATTAGCTAGGCATATATCTCACCTGATCAGTACTGTTGAAAAGAAATGCTACAGATTTCTAAGAGGATTAAAGGATAAACTAAGGCATCTGTTAGTATCACTGAGGATCCAAGAGATTTATGAGTTAGTAGAGAGTAAAACTGGTAGAAAATAATTTAACCATTCCCTAGTCTAGATAAGACGAGCAAAAAGAGAGCATGTGAAGAAGTAATAAGAAGAGAGAGTAGTGATAAGAAAAATAGATTTGCTGATGTTAGGAGAGGACACTAGAATGCCCCCAATGTTTGTAAATCTGTAACCAAGAATGATGAGTGCTAAAGTGATGTTGTAGATTAAATTTCTAATTATTGTATATGAATTTTGAGGAATCAACATAAAAATATTTTGATGCATAAAATTTACAATTGTTTTTGTTGGATTTGCTTGTATAAATAAAAATTAGTGGCCCTGGTAGACTAATTTAGTGATAAAATAGGCAATTTTTTCAGATTTAGATGTTGAGGCATCACAAGAGGTACCATTTTACAAATAAAATTGTAATTTACATATTAACCAATATGCTATTGCTGCAACATCAGAATCTAATCAGAACATGTAAGATACTTAACAAACTTCTCTCTTATTGTCTTGCTTTAAAGAAATCTAGCTTCTCAATGTTGCATTAGTTTTTCTCAGCTGCCAAGAAAATGATTTGAGCCAGATTTTGCGGATCCGACAGATATGCGATGTATGTATGATGGATTCATGGTTTCTTCTCTCTTTTGCTCTTTTGGTTTTGATATGAAGGTTAACACCCATTTCAAATTCATAATACTAAATCTGTAAGATAATTCTATATGACAATGATTTAAAATTTTGTATTTAAAGATGCAGTTTAATTATATGATAGTTAATTACAAACTGTACTTTTTGACCTTAAACAGTTTCCATTACTTATAGCTTCAAGGAAGGTGAAAAAAAGGCCTTACTGTAAGAACAGGCCCAATGGTTAAATCTTCCAATTTTCTTCTCTCTGCGAGCTCTTTTATTTGAGGAACAAGGGAAGTTGAAACCCAGTTCTGCATAAGGTAAAATACAATTTATGAATATTTCATGATAAATGCTTGCAGAAGATATAATGTGTATATGGTTTAAAGTGACTATCGATATAAAATAGGGAAAATAAAAGATCAAAAGTGAATATGATATCAAAGAAACATCCTATTACAATCATTAGATATCGTATGTAATAAAAAAATTATCAAAGAGGATAAACACACAAGTGATATTTATGTTCTTAAGCACAATTGGAAATGAGCAAATACTAAGTAGATTCTTCTAGAAGCAAACAATAAACTAAAGTTAAGGCCTAAATCATCAACCTATATTTTTGTTATATGCTAGAAATTTTACAACAATAGAAATTTTAAAATCTTTACACAAAGATCCAACACAAAAAGATAAAAATTAGAGGAATCATAATTTTTTACATGAAAAAATCCAAGACAGTCAAAAACCACGAGGCTTTACCCAATTGCAATAATACACTATATTATTATAGATACAAAAATCCGCTCTTCTCCACAATTGAAGAAGATAACATTACAAAATTGAAAATAATTGTTTGATTCCCATTAAGGGAATCACATAAGTTAGTTGAAGCAAATAATAAGGTTGGATGTTAATAGTCATACAAAATTAGTTGAATGGCAGAGTTTGAGTAATAGTGGTAGCAATTGTTGATATTAATCATCAGCGGTAATCATAAAAGAAAAACAAAGTTCTTAAGCTCTTTTAACCCCCCCCCCCCCACTCTTTCTCTGGTCAATAAAAAATGAGGTATTATTTATAAATTTTTGGAAGAAACATTTAATGAATTTTGTTAGAAATTAAAACTCTCTATCCAACCCATATTGATCCCCTTTATTATAGATTGTTTATCGGACATTTGAATGCCTCAATAATGTCAAAATTGAAAAATCTTGAGTTAATAGAATTTTTCTAACCATGCTACTCGCATGATTTGGAGATCATTTAGTCCTTTATTATGTCCCAAACTTTTCAATTATTTTTCAAATATTTGATTTAAGCTCATTTGGAATCAAGTAGGATTAATTGTGGCGCCAATGTATTTGTCTCGTTGAAATGTTTGGTTCGACTATAAGTTTGCAAAAATCAGAGTTCATGCAATCCTAAATTTAATTCCGGAAGTTTCCAAGTCAACAATTGTCTCAAGATTCATGTCAATCAAGTGACTTTTCTAGAAATGTAACGTATCAATTCTAACATTTCCCAACCAACATATCGATCATCAGAACACTCATTCAAGTGCATGCAATGTCACTCAAAAATAATATCTTAAAATTTAAATACTTGTAGTAATCGCATAGCTCTTTTTTAATAATTAGTACTTGCCAATATAATTAGTAGCTCTATATTTTTTTTCAACATTTTTTCTTCAAAGAATGGTGAAAACCAGTGTGTCCATTTGGTTGCAAGTAAGATTTAGCCTATCACCGCTAGTCTATTAACCAACTAATATCTTCAAGTTAATTGTACTGCAAACCAATTTCTAACTCTACTGAGATTTATCTTTAATCTCTAAGATAATTTGGTAGTAAGGAAAAATAGGTGGTAAAATGCACATTAATTAAGAAATTAAATAAAAGTTACGAACTTTAGTATTAGTTGTAAACTGGTAATGACATTAATTAGCAGACTAATCATGGTTATGTTTGGCAATTAGCTCAATAATAGACATTTAAAATCTTAGTCTTGACTCTCAGGTTCTGTGAATAGCGGGTAACCATTAATCAGTACTTTTTTATTATAATATTAAATATTTTTGTTAATTTTATATAATTGATTAGACGTATAGTAATAGAGTCTTTAACAAAATTATGAATAATTTTAATGGCTATAATAATTATTCAATGGATAATGTTTTACTAACTACATAATTAGTAAAAGTTAAAGATAATATGATGATTAGTAATTATGTTAAAAACTAATAACCAACATTATTTAGCATTATAACGAAATATAATTACATAGACACTACGCAAGTTACATTGATGAATCGTATTCTACCAAAGTTATTAAATGAACAAAAAATAGATTGGTAGAGTAAATGACAATAATGGGAAATGGCTTTGATTGATTAATTAATTATATAAATAAATATCTCCTATATAAATAAATATCTCCTCCACACCTCTTTCTCTGCATGCAATTACTCAAATACGCAAATCTTTTAACTGCTTGGTCGTACATCTATTTTAGATAATAAAATTTGATATAATGTATGAGGTGTTGCGCTTTCTAAGTCCCTTCTCCCAAATATTTCACATTTCTATCAAATAGAATTATGTTATGAATCATGTTAATGCAAGTTAAGGGTTGCTTTCTGTTACAATAGGGAGTACAGAATAAAAATAGTCTGAGAAAGTACCTCATGCATAAATAATATTGACTGAGCTGAGCACTTTTGACCGCTACAAGCATAGGCATCCTGATCGCATACCCATGCGACATAATCAATCTACAGGAAAGATGAGATAAGATCAAGAAGCAAATAGTTTTCTAAGGACAAACAGAAAGAAAACTAAGGAAAAATGATGTCAGGTGCTATTCCCCAAAACAGAACTGTCTAAACTGATTGCTTGAGGAGACCTCTTGCACGTCGGGACCAAGTATTTTCCAATCAAAACCTGCATCTTCCAACTTTACTCGCCCTCTCAGGTCACCAGCTAACTTTTCTGCTACTCGTGAGCTCCCAGTAAACAGAGTCATATGTGGTTTTGCCTACCAAAGAGAGAGAAAATGCAGTAGTCAAATTCATATTTATTATATACAAGAAAGTATTCTATCCAATAGAGAAAACTTACAATTGAAAATTTAAAGAGAACATTTGCTTTCAAACTTAATAATTTAGATGCTAGAGTTCACGTTTCCAATTAGTTTCTATAAGCTCATCTACTGCAAAATTTAGACAAAGTAAAAATGTAAAAAAGAAAGGAAAAGGAAGATGATATGTTACAATCTCCATAAAAGAATACTTATGAGGAAGTTGATAAAATGAATTTAGATTGCTACTGATTAAACTCAAAATATAAAACAGAAGGGCATAGAAATGAGGTGATGAAGTATGCTAGATCACTTGCAAAACTGAGCAGAAAGTGAATTCTTTAAGTGCTTAATTAGCAAGAACAGCCATGGTTTCTATAGAAAATAGAGTGCATTTTTAGTTATTTTGTAAGAAACTCCGAACTGCAAGAAGCACGAAAAGTATCTGTGGTGGGCAATGACAAGTTAATAAAAAGGGCGTACCCTATGCATGGCACTCCCACTAATGTAAGTTCTCAAAAGGTACTAATGTACGCAGCTTATTTCTACTTTTGTAGAGAGGTTGTTTCCAATGACTTACACCTAGGATCTCAAGAATACAGTAGAGGTTATTAACTAATGCACCGGACCCACCCTCAAGCGATGACTAGATAAGATATATTGGCAACTCATTATGACTTATTGCTTTTCTGTGAGGTGTTATGAGAAAAGCAAACCTCCAGCAAAAATTTGTTCATAGTCATGCCATCTGTATTGATGAAGTCCACGTCCTCCTTAGGCAGCCCACACTCATGAAGTAACCGGATCATTTGCTCCATCACAATGCACACCTACGAATCAAATCACATTGATGATTCCAATGCAAGAAAAAGCATATATGAATCATATCATATAAATTTCAGCAATCTCAATACTAAATATCCATGTTCAGCGTCTGCTGAAATGGAAAAGATGTTGATCATGTGCCATAATAAATAAAACAAATGATTGTACAAGAACTTCCAACAGAGTTAAAAAGAATAAATTGCATAGCTGCTGCTGCAGTTACAGATTTCACTCCATTCATTTTGTAGGTATTGAACATCACTCAATTCAGATTTAATGAACATACTAACTATTGAGTCAAAATAAAGAAATAATGCTGAAAAGACATGAAGTTTTACATTTGCATTGCTGAAATGCACTATCTTATCAAGGATAATTTCATGCATCACTGAACTTTATTATCCTCATTTCCGCTGATTTGTCTTTCAGAAGTCTTACAGTTGTCTTTTTCTTTAGAATTCACCAAGCGGAAGTATTTCTCACTATTAAATCTCAGTCGTCCCTTGACATTTGATCCCACGGCCACGATGGGAATCCGTGAGAGGCTTACTTTGTTAAATCCCAGCCATCCCTTAACAGTTGATCCCACGACCAAGATAGGAATCCGTGGGAGGCTCACCTGGATCACGTTGATCTTCTTCCATATTAGGGTGAATGATTTAAGAAGGATTATATTAGAGAAATTATGCATGATTTAGTAGTTATTTATTTCTTTATTAAGAAATCATGTATAGATCTATAAATAGAGATAGTTTTCTGTAATAATATCAAGCCTTTTCCCTCTCCAATTCTATGAATTTAACATGGTATCAGAGCCAGACATTCGGTTTTTTAAAAATGAGAGCTTGAGAGAGGGAGAGCTCGTTCTTGCATGATGTTATAACCAACAAACATCCTACTCCTCCTTTTGACATCACAAAAAAGGAGAATAAACCGACCGATAAAAGCAATAAACAAAACAAACTACAACGACAAAGAGAAGCTACAACACATCACACAAGACTAAAAGTAAGAAGGTCTTTCATAAAGTGGTGGCGGTGTTGGCTTAAGTAACATTGAATGGTAGAAAACTGGTCACTGAACCATGCTCGATCTACCTCGTGCTGCTGCTCCCAATGTTGAGTACATTCCTGGAAGTGTATCCAATCTCATCTTCATGCAATCAAATCTTTCTACCAATGTGTCGTAAACCTGGGGCTGGTATGTTGGTGCTAGTGCTAGTGTTGGAGCTGCTACTAGTATTGGATGGTCTCCCCCTTCCTCATCGAACTCATTCTCCTCCTCTGTGGGCTCGTCCCTGCAGTGTCTATCACGAAAGAGAACATGGAAGGAACTATCAGTATAGAAAAATAGAAAATATGTATGTCGGTGCAGGATACGTAAGCTGGTATTTCGTATCTAAGACATAAGCAACTATGTGTGTCCTAGAGCTAGATTTTGCCTATGTCAAGCTCTTAGTCATTTAAAGGAGCTAAGATTTTGAATATATCCAATAATCATATTAGTAGCATCAAACTCTGTGCCATACATGATCAGCTAGGTGACAACCAATAATAGTGGGGTGATCTCCAACCTTAGGTAAAATAGAGGTTCTAAGGACATGCTAGATGATATATGTATTCTGAGTAAGTGTATGGACAAGTGACTAGTATTGATTCAGAGGGGTATTTATAAAGATAAGATTCATCGTAGTCAAGTCATAATCTCTCTTATTTGATAAACTATGTGGCTTTATTCGTACGATAAAAAGGTGTAAATTTTCATCAAAGTCTTGATAGGTGATCTCTACAAAATGCCTACAGATATAGGAATGCATGATGGTACACTCAACATTAATTCATAAATTCACAAAAAATTATAAAGAAGTTCATAATTGAAATGAAAAGTCAGTGTCAAAATAAATTGATAAGCAGGAACTACGTGCATGCCTGAGGGAGGATAACAGGCCCTAGTGCGTGTGCTGGAGCCGAACCGAGCAAGGAACGAACGATTGGAGAGCTGTTGTACATGCCATCAAATCCTCCACTTGAGGAGACCTTCCTTTCCCTAAATCCCAACCACTTCTACATATTCCCGATTTGCTACCCTCAGATTTGGGAGATGCATAATAAGATCAAAGCCTCCATCTTGACAACATAAGAAGTCAACATCTCCCGAGATCATCGCCATTGGGATCAATCCCTAAAATTGAACAAATGCCACTTTGTAACTCACATTCTCACCTACTTCGTTGCTGCTGACGGAATTGTCATTGAGAACCTTGTTGGTCATATTTGGACTAAAATCGGTTTGACGGATTCAAAGCTAGCCGATCGAACAGTCATGATACGTGGAGTTGCCCATACAATGCATGCAATGGAGAAGAAGATGTCTTTCTTGGTGGTAAGGCAGTTCACTGCAATAGTCATGAATAGTCATGATACGACTATGCTGCACCGACACTTCTTCTCAAAGAGACGTGCAATGTCCAACACATATCCGACACGACACGCGTCTGATATGCCTCCGACATGTATCAAGCACGCCAAAAACTTGTCAAATTAAAAAAATATTAAATAAAAATTGGACACGCATGCTTTAAATATTGTATGAATTCTTTTAAATAGAATTTCTTGTATTTAAATTTTTTATTTATTTAAAATATAAAAACTAAATTATTTATTTTATATCCACAGCACCAAATCAATCCCTCGCACTCAATACCTCATTCATCGAATATTTTCATTTTCATTTCTCTTTAGCAGGTCATGACTCTAGTTTCACAACAATGTCCGATGTCATCTCGATATCGAAGTCTGATGTCTTTACAACATTAATATTTCAAAATCATCTCAACGTCAAAGTTTAGCACTATCTTGATATTGATACTCGACACTAGCAATTTCTACACCAACAACTTGACAGCTCATCATTGTCGTACGTCATCTTAACATCGACGACTAACACCCTCTCAACATCAACGACAGGAGCCCTCTTGATATCAAAGCCAAATAATTATTGTATAACATCGATGCTCAACTCTTGATAGTATTGTTGTCTCCTCTCTCGATGCTTGATGCATGATATTGACGCCCGACTCTTGACATCTTAATATAAATTATTTTAAGCCTAAATTCTAATTAAATGACTTAGTATTTCTAAATTACTTTTAATATTATACTTATTCAATTTTATACACTTTTTTTAAATATAAAAATTATAATATCATATTCAACTCGTGTCCATGTCCTATATTTTCAATAATTGACGTGTCCCGTGTTCGTGGCATAGCAGTGTCGTAGTGTCCATGTCTATGTATCATAGGCATATAGTGATCTAAGAGTTGATGAGCATGCAAATGGCAGATGGTGAAATACGCTACTTCCCTAAGTAGGGAGTCGATCGTGGATATCGAGGGTGAGGCTACCGAGAGATTGAAAGACTTAATCCTAACTTGAAGGAGTTGGAACTTGCTAGTTCTCAGGTTCCCGCATTGGCCTTCATTGTCGGAATTCTGAGGAATTTAGGTTCCCACCACCAGCCTTCATTACTGGAATTATGAGAAATACATGTTCCCACTACCATCCTTCATTGACGAAATTCTAAGGAATATTGGTCATTCCACCAGCCTTCATTGTCAAAATTCTAAGGAATATTGGTCCTTTTGTTTCCTTTGTGCATCCAAAACTGAGGAGAGATGGAGCGAGAGAGCTCCTACGTTCGTCAAGAAAGAGCCAACATTTCCCTCTCGTGCAAGTCTAGGGCCGGGACAAGCAAAAGTGCAAGACCCACACTCCATCCTGCGATCAAACAAGAGGGATTAAAGCCCTAACATGCGCCTATGCGGGGCTGATCGAACAAGAGTCTGTTTAGGTGGAATTGGACGACAAATTTGTATTAGGGCAAAGGCTAGATCGATCGGATCGGAAGAGATCTGCTAGTTGAGTGTTGAGCCACTGGAGACATTTTTCTGTTGTTATCCCCGCAACCCTAAAAACAATTTTTTTCCTTTCTACTGTCGTGCTTTCATTGTCGTCCTTCCCTTGAGAGCTGAGAGGGAGACAAACACGAAAAAAAAAATAATCTACTTTCCTGTTGTCCCACCACCAACCTTATTGCATTTTCCAGTGCCTTGAAGGCCAATGCTCAACGGAGCCATATTGCTTCCCTACACCTTGCAAGCTTGATTGATATAATCTTCATCGCTATTATTTGTTGCCGCAACGTCTGAAGCTAATCCCTCCCAAAACTTTTACCAAATGGACGACTCTACGGTGAACCAAGAGACTTGATAACTCTAATTTTTTGTGATTAATTACCAAGCTTGGAATGACAAATATGTATTTCCCAACTTGAGGAAGTATTAAATCCCAGCTGTCCCTTGACACTTGATGCCACGACCAGGATGGGTATCCATGAGAGGCTCACTTGGATCACGCCAAACTTTTTTAAATGTCAATCATCCCCTAACACTTGATCCCAAGACTAAGATGGGAATCCATGGGAGGTTCGCCTGGATCACATTGATCTTCTTCCATATTTTGGTGGCTGATTTAGAAAGGATTATATTAGGGCAATTATGCATGATTTTGTAGTTATTTGTTTCTTTATTAATATATCCTGTATAGATCCATAAATAGGGATATCTTTGTGTAATAATATCAAGCCTTTTCTCACTCGAAATCTCTGAATTTAACAATTACCCCTATGGTGAAAAAATTCGGCAAGAGACACAAGTTTGCAGCACTACACCGACCTCAGCATGCGACTTCACTTTCTGTCCAGTAAAGCTATTTTTGTTCTAGACCCTTCACATTGCAATGCTTGCTTAATATTAGTACTGCTTTGCAGACATCATAATATTGTATATTAACAAAAAATACAGCAAAGAACATGCTAGAATAGAATTTACAACTAAATATATTCATTTAACTTGTCTCACTGGTGCCAATTTAGAATAACCAATCAAAATAACATGAGATTCTGAAAAATTACAGTTTTTTTTTTCTAAATATAAAGCAGGATTGTTAGATTCAGACTCGAATAAATTCACAATAATAATCATCCTTGCTGACATTCACCACCTTCTTTTTTTTATTTGTTCAATATCAGAATTAGCCAGCCAGTACTGGTTTAATTACTGTCTTTAATGATATTGAAAATATTCAGACTCAAGAAGTTAATTTCATGTACCTTGCTATCAACTTTAAGAACCGGTTTGTTTCCCATATAGAGGGCACCCATAAGTTGCAGCAGTGGAATTTCCAAAGGGAAATTGAATGGAGTGATAATTGCAACCTGTGTACACCAGCATACCGAATTTAACATTTTTGGCATCAAATTAGCATGAAGCACTACTAAGATGATGAATTTGCAGAACTGTAAATAGTATAACACCGATTGCTAGTTAAATTCAAAACCATGATCTAAAAAGTCTATAATTTCATATAATTTGCATCAGAGGGTAATTCTAATACGTTCTTACACCACAATCTGTCGCATATTATGACTGGCAAAGCTAATGCCAAATAGATGTAACCTGTTTCATGCATGAATAAGTTATACATGTTAAAAAAAAGTCTGATCAAATAAGTTGAGTCAGCCAGGCTGAATAATTAAACTTCAGTTAATCATTTTTTACATCTGCCTAATGTAAATGGAACTTTAAGGTCATAATGTGCAAACTTCTAGGGGAAAAAGTTAGCTCAAACACAAAATTACCTCATCTTACAGCAATATGATTTGAGCTCAAATCCTCTGCTCCAGCCTAGCTACTTTCATAGCATTTTGCCAAAATTAGCTCAAGCGAATTTTCAGGAAATATTGTACTTAGTAATAATACGTGTGTTTGAATTCTAAATGCCAATGCAAACAAAACCAACTGAATTAGCGACTGAGGAGAGACGAGTGCTTGACTAAAATAATGAATAGAATAGAAAATGGAGAGTTGGGAAGCTGTAGAATAATGAACAAGGACAAGAATAACTACTAGACGACAACCCAAAAAATAATAAGTTCTAAGGAGGAGGGTAAGCAAAGCACAACATCAGGTCACACCTTGTTACCACAAAGCTACTGTTCCTGTTGATTATAGCCTTAAACACCTTTGCATTAATTTCAATATTCCGGACACAATGGCATGGTCTATTAAGTGAACAGGCGACTTTGCGCAACATCACATCTGTAGATCATCCTTTTCATTATGTTCGATCAAGTCAATGTAATTCAAACTCATTTCTTGCGACATCTCATCAATTGTCCATCATTCTCTTCCATGTACTAAATTGATCGTGGTGCACATATGGAGGTCAACACAGTCAATACATGGACATTCACTCTGTCAACCTAAGAGGGTAACTAGAAAGCCAACTTTATCTATGGACGCATACTTATCCAGAGACTATATCCTTCTTTTCTAGCTTCTAGGCCAATCACTTTATGTGATCCACCAAATTCCCGAGCATTTGTGAGGCATTTCATGGATATCTCGTGCTGAAAAGCTAAAGATGCAGAGACAAACAGTCTTACAGGTCCATAAGGCCAGCGATAGCCATTACTCTGCTGTCCAAGATGATTGCCAGGTACTGCAAATGATCTCGCAAGGAAGCGGACCTGCCATTTAATAGAGTGAAATGAGAAACTCATAGAAGGCAACAATTTACAAGTTCTAATAACAAGGAAATTTTGTTTTGACATGATCAAGCTGACAAACTGAGATAAAATGTTTAAGTAAGCTTACAGCATTATTACACCCAATGATTGTTTATTTTAGTTATTACAAATAATGGATTTGACTTTGCTTATAACAAGGACATGTAATCCAGTAATATTTTTTTATAGGCAATTAATGATTTTAAGGAATTCAATATACAAATAAGTAATTTTAAAGTAAAGCGCAAGGCCTTATGAAGCTTTCTAAAGTGAGAAGCTCAATGTTTTGGCTGAATAAAGAATATTTTAGGAACTTCTCACTTTAGGATTTTATTAGGTTTATGAAGATCTAAAAAGGGATCTAAAACTCAATTTGTAGCAAGACCAGCACAAAAGGAGTTTCCTAGTGAATATATGTCTCAGCTAGGAGGAATAACATATAAGAAGCATCATCAAGGAGAATCAGAACGCTTGTAACCATATTATTAGGTTGGAGAAATCTCTTCAACTACACTAATAGGATTAAAAATATTCTGAGAAGAATGAAAACTCAGCCTTGTATGAATTTGAAATTATAGCGAGTGAGGGAGTTAATACCTGGTCTCCACAGAAGTTCTCTAAAAACTTCTGGGTAACAAACACCTCTCCTTGAGCTTGCTTGTAGCTCTTCGGAGAAACTCTTTGAATAAGTCTTGCAAAGAAATTTGATACCTGACTCCATGCAAAAGTAGGCATTAGTTGCACTGTAAAAGACGAGTTGCTTTATTCTTAAGGGTTTCTACCTCAGGTTGTCCAAGCAGGTGAGCAGCTTTGGTGGATATGTCTCCATACAATAGATATCTGCAAATTGAAAAATTATTAGAGGTAGAGTAAAATAATCAACCCAATAATGCTTCAAGTTGATGGACTCAACAGTTCAGAAAATAGAAAAACAAACAGTTCATTCATGCAAAACTCATGGTTTGCAAATGTAAAAAGAAAACAAAAAACAATACGAGGTAATTATGGAACATCAGCTGAGAATCAAAGAAAACAGGAAAGATCATAAATGAGTTTTAGTATATATTAGATATTGTATGTCTTACCATAAAGGCCTTGTGCTAATATGAGCTAATGGAAAGTATAAAAAATAAAGTAGTCACATCTTCAGTAAGATGAAATAATTCTATGTAAATCACAATATGCACTAAATTTTTTTTATCATATAAATAAAACATAAGAGTAACAACAGGTAACATGATTTTTTATGAATTTGCAACATGAATTGACTAATATAAAAATGTAAACAACATGACATACGCATACCTATCATCATCACTAGCATATTAATTAACCTTATCCCAACTATTTGAGATTGTCTACGAATCCTCATTTTCCATTGTTTTACGTTGAGTGCAGCACACTGTATTAAACTTATTCTTCACAAATCATTTAGAACAACTGAAATCAATATAACCTTAGATTACCCATTTTCCTTTCTAATCCTCAAATACCAACTTTACTCATTTAGTAAGCATATTTTCTACCTTTCAAAATATATATACAAAACACCCAGATCTATTTTCAAGTACATTATTTTCAATAGATATCACCCCAATAGTTTCTCTAATATAATTATTCTTTAATTTATATTTCCTAATTTTGTAACACATCCATCCAAACATTCTCAATTTGTAAATGCTCAACTTAAATATCGACGACCTTTTATTACCTAGCATTTATATCCATACAATACTGTCAGCCTAATTATAATTTTATAAAATTCAAATCCTCATAATATTCTTTAATTGCATTTACTCCAAATGTACTTCACCATTTTAATCGTTCAGTCTGAATATATAGAATGTGCCCTCACCATCATGTTAGCCTACTAGATAGAGAGCTCATTATCCCCATCCTTGGCTTGACTATCTGATTTGCTCATGTTGGAATAGACTTAAAAAAATAAAAAATAAAAAAATGTTGGAATAGACTTATTACATGGCGGTAGTTGTCCTTGGGCTTGTTGATCATTTGCAACACTTAAGTTGTCTCAATTGGTGGGTCCCCCTCTATGATTAACTATTAATGTTACAATCCTTTCATTCATTGGTCAATTATATATATATATATATATATATATATATATATACTTTGAATAATAAATTTAACAAAGATCATCTTGATGTATTGATTGAGAGCTCTGATTACCAACTAAAAGGTTTTGTGTGAGTTTGACTTAACTAGCTTAAATATTTCAATAAATAAATAAATTCACAACTTAGAAGAAGTGATGTCACTCTTCCCATGGAGAATAGATGCCCGGATTTCTCCACCTTCGAAGACTAAAAATATCTAAAGTTCCGGTAAAAGTAGTATTTAGCTTAAAAAAGTAAGCCAATGTAAAGAAATCTCAGTTTCTACTAACTTGACAGAACAACAAGAATAATCACGAGAAGCTACTTATTCTGCGGATGTATTTTAGAACTAGCATGGCGTGAATATAAATTGTTTTCAAACTTGTTTAATAACTTTCAAAGTTAAGGTCATTTTTGAGGGGGGAAAAAACAAGCTGGAGCCTAATAATTTTTGTTGTTGTTTGGTTTTTGTTTGCAGACGCTTGGATTGTCGCATGCACTCTCTTCGCTGATGTGGCTATGCGGTCCCGTTGCTGGTTTTGTGGTAAGCGTTTGATCCTGCGAGCACTAAGTTTTACGGACAATTAAATATTGTTAATTAGATGTGTTAAAATTTTGTGGCTATATTTCCATTTACTCATCCATTATCATCGCTCTGAAAACATTATCACTAACAGTTTTAGGAGATTGTTTGAGAATGGATCCTAGTGATATTTTCGACTAGGCATTAGCTCTATGTGAGCTGAAGTAGTTTTAATTTGTCCACCCCGGCAAACTATTGCGGAGGGTGGATGAATTTTTCTTTAAGTATTCAGATGGTTGATTTCAATTTTAAATATTTTTGGGATTTTGAGATTTTCTGTGAAGTTTTGATAAGCATTTGGGTGGCATTTGAAAATAGTTGTGAACCCCTCCGGTTGAGATCCACATTCAACACGGTAATCATCGGGGTGTTCATGGGGTCATTTCCATTTGAAAATATTTGAATTTTGTGGATGAACCTTGTCCACTTTGTCGAGCCATCGATAGATGATCAGGTTTCGTAGATTTTATGCCTTTATTAGTGAATTCTCTTGATTATAGGCCTTGAAGGCCTAATATGAATGTATTAAAACAAATACACTGGTCGCCACAACAGTGTATTTGTTTGAATGTTCGAACCCTATCGACTCCTACTGATCCGCATAGAAGGATCAGGTTCGAACTTAAATTCACTTATCAACCCGCGCAGCATCCCTAGACGTCACGTGTTATACCAATAACATGCTCGCCGGGGCCCATGCGTGTTTGGGGGCATTTTATAATTGTACCATGTCTACTCCTTTTCATCTCCTTAAGAGAATCGGGTTCAAATTAAATAACCCGTGCAACATCCCTAGACGTCACGTGTGTACCAATAACACGCTCGCCGGGGCCCGTGCGGGTACTTGATTATAAACCCCCTTTTAGTGTACCTATGTGTATACAAACTACGGTGCACGTGCAGGGATATTTTGAAATATTTGTGAACGCCTTTTGTCCGCTTGCATAGAAGTTGCGGATTCGGTGGCATGGCGTAGCAGCTTCTGGATCAATTGTTTGCTACTTTGTACAGGTAGACTGTCGTGCACTACTTGTATGATTTATGCGGGTAGATGTAGTGCACTAATTAATCTCCTGGTTAACTCATAAGTTCTTGCATTTGTTGTGGTCTTTTGACATTTGTTTGTGAACATCACATCGGGTGTATGACATGATCTTCTACTATGATCGTAGGAGTTGACATTCACTACATATCTTTGCTTATAGTGGATCAATGTATCTTTCAACCATTGATTGATTATTGATTGTAGCCATGTTGCAACATTTATTATCTACTGTTGATTATCATCATCATACATGTGTATGTTTGCTGCACACCAGTCCTCCCAATTTTGTTGGAGACCAAAATATTTGCTTGCATATCACTATTGATCCTGGGTCTAGTTGTATTCGTCATTGCTCCAACTTTTCATGTTGACTGTGAGAACATTTGTGCCACCATTACATGCTAACCCTCGTGACATATTGGGGTTTGGTATTTGCCTATGCCTCTTTCAATTCTTCTAGCAACTATTACATGCTTCTTTAAGACAATATAGGCTTTTATCAGTGCTTGCAAGTGGATGTGTCAGGGGGATATTGTATACTTCATACATATTGTAATGAAGAATATCATTGACTCTGATCTTGCTGTTTGTTTAGAAGATCCTTATTCACCATAAGCTCCGCTTTCATTTGTATATAACCTATAGAAGTTATCATTTTAATTTGGACAGTTGAGTATATTTCTTCTCTTGTGATTCAAGTTCAAACTTGGATTGCCCACTTAAACTGTTCAAAAAAAAGATTTCAACTTCCTCTTCGATCCAAACCAAGTTCAACTCCGAGTCCCTTGTAGTTACATTGCGCCACTTGCAAGTTCAAGATGAGTTTACGTCCATTCATCCCTTTGAGTTCAAAAACACTTCTTGCTCATGTTTTGATTTTAAGTATAATTCTCCTGTTGTCCTTTGTTCCATTCACATTCAAATTCATTTAGATTTCAATTTGAACTTCTTTATTCAATTTGGGTTCAAGCTCCTTGTAGTCACAACTTCTAGTTCAGTTCATAGAAGTCAATGTTCAAGCCTGCAAGTCTTCCTCATCTGATTCAAGTCAAGTTCGTGTTCTCCTTGATGTTGTATAGTTCAAGTTCAGTGTCCACTGTAGTCCAACTCAAATCTTTGTTTGAGTTTAAATGTCCAAGTCATGTCTTTGTTCATTCCAAGTTCTAGTTTTGATTTGAGTTCCTTATAGTTCAAGGTTGATTCAAGGTTAATTCAAGTCTTTGCTCACATCATTTGATTTCCAAATCAAGTATGAGTTAAAATTCAATTAAAGCTCAAATCAAGTTTGGGTGTAATCCTTTGTAGTTCATCAAGTCCCTTGTACCACTTTCAAGTTCAAGCTTATTATTGTTCAAGTTATAAGTCCACATCAAAGTCCCCTGCGTTCAATCAAGTTCACTTGCATGTTCAAATAGGTCTCCTTTGTTCAATCTGGTTCGAATTCATAAGTCCCCTGTAATTCACTTGAGTTCGAGCCATTCTTTTGTTTCGTTTGCATTCAAATTGAAGTTATTATTGATTGTTTAAGTTTGAATTAAGTCCATTTGATGCTCCAATCAATGTCCAAGTAAAGCTCCATATTATCCCAAGTACGATCTTATGTTTACCCGAAATTTCGGCAGCCTTCCGGCGTCTCCCCCGTTTAGGGGAAAACTGGGCCTCCCACCACGCTAGAGAAAAGCGTGCACGGTAGATGCCCTCGAAAGAGGACACCGCGGTCGTAAAATATTTGTTCCCTCACCACGCCAGAGAAAGGCGTGCATGGGGTTTCGAGCACCGGTTTAAAAATAAGCAATTTATATTTGACCCCGCCTCGCCGTAGGCGTCGCACCGGGTTCCCTTCCCATCACGCTAGAAAAAAGTGTGATTTATAATTAATTATAACTCATTGATATTAATTAATTTTAATAAATCATAATTAATCAATAATAATTAATAATAATTATATTTTATAAATTATAATAAATTAAATTAATTTTACTCAAATTTAATTATAATTAATTAATTAATTATAAAAAAAAACATGATTAATTAAAAATAATAATTCTAACTAATTATAATTAAAATGACATAATTATAATTAAGTATGATTATT